GGCTCGTCACCATGCAGGAAAGACCACATCGTCTACCGCCTCTACTTCCTCGGCAGCCTGCAAAACGGCACGAGACATCTCGGAGAGAGATCCACATCATGCAGGAAAGAAGCAAGTCAGTATTCGCTACCCTCCAGATGGTTAACATACTAATGTGTACAGACCGCCGCCACTGTTTGCAAGCGTGAGGAGTTGATCGAAGCTCGCCAACATGCGACTAAGGATGCTACTACCGCAACGGCATTCAACTCTGCTTTGGGTTTCTAGATGCGTGCTCACGGATGGAAGTGATTCATGCATGAAAATTCAAGAGAATCAAGTGTCAGGAATGATGGATCTGGGTTCCTCTCGGGATGAGATACCGAGCTCTGCATATTGAAACATATACAAAGCTGTGCTAGATATCTTAAAATAAAATGCATGACGACAGACTTCTAGTCCAGATTTAGAAACAATCTGGTCGTGATCATGCACTTTCATAGGAACCTCTCAGATACTAAATTCTTCGAAGAGGATATAACTAGCGCCTCGACGACAAGACAACTACCAATTCGAAAGCACTACGGAGCCTGGAACATGTGCACGGCAAACTACATTCCCAACTTGGACAACGGATTACTAACGCAGGGGTAGAGAAAGCTTGTTTAAAAGCTCTCATCGTGAAATTTATATATCAGCATATATCAACTACCACGAGAACATCTCGTCATGCATTTCTTTCTCTTCTTCTTGGACTTAAAGCATTATGTTTTCAGTGCAAATACTACGAGATTGCCACCAACTGAGTTCCGAAGCCAGTTCTATAAACTGTTGAAGTTTACAACATATACAATCAGTCGGCTTGGCACTTGCTTGCGACTAGCCTGAAGCACTACAATCTGGGTATTTAAGAGTTGGTATTTTGCACTTCAAATGAATGGTTTTCCTATTTGAAATTCATTAACTTCGCTTTGTGGAAGATTGAGGGGGTATGCTGTTGAGTTTGCCGTTGACTTGGGTGTTCTTTAGGGAGACAAAGTTGCGTTGTGACCAGAGTCTTTTATGCTTGTGGTCTCTCAGTGTAAGGAATACTTGTACAATTTTTGTGGTGTGAGAGATTATTAAGACCCTCTGGACGACGTCACGAAATCGATCTGACTAGCTGGATAGTTCAGTTGGTTCACCTACCTCGACTTCACCACCTAGCCTCGCTACCTCAACTTTACTACCTCAACTTCCTCCATATCGCTTGATACACGATGTTCCTGCACAAGCTCCCTCTCCTCACCATCCCATAATCCTCGGTTATACAGCCACATCCCCAAGCAGTCTTTTTATCGCCGCAGCAAGTCCACTCTTCCCACCACTTCATCTACACCATCCAACTCACCCCAGGCACCCATCTCCTATCTCCCAACCCCAATATTAACCTACTACCGCTGGACCTACTTCAGCACCCCCAGCGCCGCCTTCCCACTATCACTCACGCACCCCAATATCTTCGTCTATCCCGCCACCACCATCACTACTTCTCGCGACGCAGCTGATAGCTATGACGACACAATGGCGTTTATTTTTGATCTTGTGGTGATGGGCGATTCAGTAGGCAGAGGGGAAGTGGGCAGGCTTGAAGGTGAAACCTTTTATACCACTAGTATCTCAGCCATATCGTGGACGACAACGGAATCTGAGAATGTGAAGAAGCGTTCTGGAACTCAACAAAGAATTACCTGCACACTCACAGTGTTTGGTTAAGCAGTAATATAAACGGCAGACAACCCGTGCACTAACACACGCTTGACTTTCCGATCCACTCGTCATTCATATGACAGTGCAGAAAGTCGGATGAGAAAGCCAGAAATTGGTGAAGTAATTGTGATGGGGGAGATAGTCATGTGATAGAGCCTATTAGCGCGCTGTGGTGCGGGAGCTAAGCCTCTTTTGGAACGATTCTGTAAATATCTCGAGAGCTTGCCTTGCAACTCTTACCTCTTTGTAGACGTTTTGACTACTAATATACGACCCTGCTCTGTATTTCCCTGAAAGTATTAGCAGAACAAAGCTAACACGAGACAACTATGTCCAAGACTCTATTGGAAATTCGCTGGGCCAGCGTCAAAGCTAAAGCTGTTCTCGACACTTGAATCGAGCGCAATAATGATAGCTAGGGTGTAGTTGGTATATGCAGCAAGTCTTTGGCGATAAGCAGAGAAGCGATAGGAAATAGTAGAGAGTTGCGCAGAGTCTTGAAGCAGAAATGTTGTAATAGGAGCCTTCTAGAAGATCAGAACCATGAGGTTCTACTTTCATTCAAGACTGTTTGAAGCGGAAAGATGAATGCTATTTGGATCCCATAATTTGAAAGTGAAGTAGTTTACCTTTCACTCCCTAGGTCAGATGTGGACGTAAGGCGTAGGCTGTGAAAAATCCAACGTGAAAATACTTCATCCCAAAATTTAGTAATATATTATTTAATTTTTTTTGGATACACATAATTGGACAGATGGCCGAGCTGGTTATGGCGCCAGGTTAAGGTAATCCTTAATCAACGGATTCCTCGGAGTCAATTTCCTGGTCACGAAAGTGGCGTGGGTTCGAGTCCCACTCTGTTCAGATTTGCTTTTTGGTGAAAGCTCTGCAAACGTAGACTTTTATGAATTTTTTCTTTTTCATTCATTCTTATAGCTTTTGCCTGTTGTTTGTACGTGAAGAGGCATACAAAGCGAGGGGAGAGTCTTCAATGCACTGCATATGGCTCTGAAAAGGAGGGAATTGGTGCTATACATGTATGCTTAATTCAACAAGAGTTTGGTCTAGTGTAGTATGACAATCTTTCTTTCTCCCCGCCCGCTTGCCTATGCTACAAATCCAAGCTTACATCCTACGTATATAACTAAGAGCCCGTGAAATAATATTTAACGACGCGCACTCTTCTTTCGCTTCACGACTTTGTCGTTGCCATTTGGGGCTGTAGTCTTGACTTTTTCGAGAACTTCGAAGTCATCGGCTCCGGAGCTGCTCGACGGACGATCTTCTTCTTCAAGGAATTCTTCAATGTCTGCTTCTGCTCCACGGTTGAAGATGCGGTTGTAGGCAGTTCGGACGGCCCAGCGAGGGAGACGGACAAGTGCTGTATCTGTAAGTCCTGGACGAGGGACGACCTTGGGCTATGATACTGTTAGTCTACAAATTGAGAAAGTGTTTGGGGAAACATACGTCTAGCAAAAACTCATGGGTGTTGCCATCCTCATCTGACTGTTCCATATACACATTTCCAGCCTGGTCCACAACTAGTATCTTGCCGTTCTCAGCAACGAGACGCTTCTTAGGTCCAGTGGCGCCGACGGGAGGAGTTCCAATCGGTGACTTCGAAGCCTTGATTCCCTTAGTCTTCTTCTCGAACTTGTCCTTCTTGGAATCCTTCTCCATCATGCGTCTCTGCCTTCTGTTCGTAGGTTGGTTGGGATCCTCTTCCGCGACAACAGGTGGGGTAGCCTTTCCAGAGTTCAATCCAGGGATGTTGAAGCTGTCACCCAATGCCTTGCTGCGCGCAAAGTCGATGTACTTCTGCATGAACTTCTGGTCGCGTCCCCAGGTCAGGTAGAGCGCATACCAATGTCCGCCTCCACCGACAGCAATGAACAGGAGAGTCAATACCGTGCCGAGCCCTGGTCTGTATCTGGCATAGTAATAACCAGTACCCTTCCACTTAGGGAAGCCATGGTACAGGAAGTGATCATAACGTGCCCGTCCTTCACCACGCAGGATGTTAGTCACTATGCCCAAGCGTGCGAAGCGGTCGCTGGCAGCCTTTTTGGCAGCAGCGATTTCCTTCTTCGATGGACCTTTAGAGACATGTACGCCAGGCTTCTTGCTCTTTTCTTTTGGCTTGTCCTTGCCGGTAGCTTGATTGGCAATGAATTGCTGAGTAGCCTTGTCAGGATGTAGCACACGAGCACGCTTCTTGTATGCCTTGTTCAGTTCGTCCTGGCTGACTTTTGGGGAACAGTCGAGGAAATTGTAGAAGGTTACGCCTGTTCCTTCGGAAGCTTCAACTTCATCTCTCAGGCGGAAGATTTCTTGATCTGCTATATGGTCAGTCTAATGTCCATCAGACTGCCCACACCATGTAGAGGTACGGGCATTTGCTGCTTAGCAGATGCAGCAAGTTATGTTCTCGTCGTGCGGAATTGTACGTACCCTCTTTACTCCAGTTCGCTGTGACAACAGAAAGCAAGCAGAAAAATATGCCCACAATAAATGTTGAGCGTCGCATGTCGTTGGTGGTTGTAAACCAGTCGGGTCTCTGGTCATAGAATGCGATCGTGTCTTTTTGAGAGACTTCGGATTCTGTAGTTTGGGTGGAGAACTCAGACAGGGGCTGCCCACTCTAAATCCCATTAGCGTCTCGTTGGCAGCATTTCAGTGGAAACAGCGTGAAGATGACCTTGACTCCTCTGCACTCTGCACTTTGCAGCATTAGTTAGGCATCCGCTTGTGTGCAAAATCTGGAAGAGTGCCAGACCGCCTAAACTATAAGTAAGCTAAAGTATAAGTAATCTGGTACCCTCTCAACCTTTTCCACACCCTCAATCTCACTCTTCTTGCTGACCCGCGCAGAAGGGCTGTGGGAGGAATTGAGCGGTTCCCCACGGCTATTCAGGCCTGAGGCAGAGACAGTGAAGGAAGGAGAGCCACAGACTGGAGCTCTATTTCAGGCACAAATTAGAGGCTGAATGGATCAGCTTGGGCAACGGGCAACCACCCCTGAACCAGTCGCCAATCCATACCAAAATTATTTCGACCATTTCACAGGCATCCCTTTCTACGTCTATCAAATCATCCCTCCCTACGCTTGTACACGACACACAAACCAACTATACAAAACCATTCTCTCACACGTTCTGAAGAAACGAGGTCAGTCTGACGCTAAAGCTCATCCCTTAAGGGTGACGAATGCTAATGTGGAGTCTGGACAGATCTTAGAAGCTTTCGGTAAACATCTTCGAACTTCCTGAACTCAACTGATCAATCACGATCGACTTCTACCTTCCTCAACAACGCATACTTCTTTACCAGCAACCATCGCCATGTCAGGCATAAGAATTCCTCTTGACGTCCTCACGTCGAGGTTGAACCTTTCGGATAGGTTCGCAGGCATGCGATCTCAATCTATTGGATCAAGATTCGCCAACCTCAAGCCCATTTCCGAATTCCTGGACCTCAAAAGACTGTCCAAGCCTGCCAACTTCAGCGAGGTGCAGTCAAGAGTCAACTATAACCTGGGACACTTTTCCAGCAACTATGCCGTGGTTTTCTCCATCCTGAGTCTCTACAGCTTGCTCACCAGCTGGCTCCTGCTCTTCGTCATCGTCCTTGTCATCGGTGGCATGTGGGGAATCGGAAAACTCGATGGAAGAGACTTGGACATTGGTGTCATTCGTGCCACCTCTTCTCAGCTCTACACGGCTCTCCTCATCATTGCAGTTCCCCTGGGACTCATTGCATTTCCTTCTTTGATTTCAACAATTCTCTGGCTCTTCGGCGCAAGCGGAGTCAGCATTCTAGGACATGCCTCACTCATGGACAAACCCATCGATGAGGCTTTTTCCGGGGAGGCGGTCTAGATGGTCGGCCGCGATCTCCCAAATTTGTGCCCTCATGGGGAAGACCACCAGGGGCGAAGGGGAGCAAGAGACGGAGGCAGTGGGAGAGAAATCAGGAGCTTTGGCAGCAGGAGATTTCCCGTGTTGAAGAGCTTGACAGCGATGATACAGATTCACAAGGCGTTGGTTTGGGTTGTGGAAAGAAAAGATTTGCTAGCGATCCACTTCATTTCACGGGTATAGACATGTCTGCCAGGGACACTAGGGTCAGTAGGAGGAGTTATGCATATAATGATACTGAGGAGTCTTCGGATTCGGATTCTGAAATCTCGGAGTACGACGGTACGAATGCTTTGCAGATAGCTTTGCGGGATAAGGAAGAAGCGCTTGTACAGTCCGCGCTTGCTCGTATTCGGCGAGCCCAGGAAAAAGGGAAAAGAGAAGTCAAGCTGAACCAGGATGAATTGGATGCACTAGAGAAACGACGAAAACGAATGCAGGCGGCGACCACCATAAAGGAGAAAAAACCACACAGTTCTGGGAGCGACAAAGACAGGAAAAGGAGCCAACGGCAGCTTGTGCCTATACCATCTTTGGAGGTCATGCCTCGAGCCAGAGCAGCTTCGAAGAGCAGCAGCAGCAAGAAAGGAAAAAGCAGAAGAAATACTTCACCACCACCTTCTGGTATCATGGTCGCCAATCACGATGGCACTACGACATACGCTCCGTTTGGTTACCACCCTTCCCAAGTAGGATCCAGTCGTGGCTCTCCGTCTCGTCCTCGCTCTTCCACCTCTCAGCAAATACACGGAAACCTTCCGCCGCACTATGTATACTCCCAAGGTCCTAGTAGCAGGCACTTCTCCGATGGCACTCGTCCAGGCTCCTCGGCCAGCAACAGTTCTCGACGTCCGCTGCCTGACGAAGAGAGCTGGATACCCACGAGCTCTCGTCGCAGCTCTGTCGCCTCACATGCTTCCGTCGACCCATTCGAGTACCAGACAGCGCAACCGCAATACACGAAAGGTCGTCGCATCGTTTCTGGACCTCCAGAAGTTGCATATTCGTCCATTCGTCGTAGTCCGCCTATTCTTGGCGGCTACCCTGCTTCACCGGCTCGTCCTGTGTCTTCATCGCGAGGAGCTAGCGATCCGACACTCAGGCGACGACCGTCGCGGAGAGATGATATTGACGAACTTGCGGATTCTAGTGACGAGGAAGACGAGAGTGACGATCTGGGCAACGGCGTGCAGGTATTCGTTGAGCGAGAAGTGGAGCGGGAGAAAGCAGTAACGAGAAAACCGGTCGGCGGGAAGAAAAAGGGGAAAAGATAGGTCTGCGTGCATTCATATTCCTCTGGCATCTTTCGATAGACAAAGTATTCCTTGAATGAACCTTTCATTGCATATATTGTTGTCGTCTTCTAGTTCTCCAGCCGCTCTAGTGTCCGCTTCCGAGTACTTGAATTATCTTTGTGTGAGATCTTCGCTTCTCTCTTGTGTACCATGCCATACCTAACCAATTCATATCATCTCCGACACAACCGTCAGCCTCCATACGTCTACCATACCAGTCCCCACGCCTGCAAAGGCATACACTCAAGTCGCTACAAGCAATGGAATATTGTCAGGTTGTTGCCAGCAATGTCTCGCTTGGGCAGCATATGTTGTCTTTTTGTCTCTTTTGCTCGTAGGTGAGCTGAGGGGGTTCGTCCCAGGTGGTGTTCGTGTAAAATGCATGCAGCATTCTCTCTCTCTCCAAACCAGCCAAGGTTGCACGGCATACAAGTTGGATAATCAGCAATTCAATGAATGTGTGCCCTCCTTCTATGGTGTGGTTGTTGTTCAAATTCAGTGAGCATTCGTGATGATATGGAGCTGTATAGATCTTTTATCTCGTTTCATGTATTTCGTAGTGGAGGAGAACCAGATTGTCTTTATAGGTACTGTACTATAGCTCAAACTTCGCTAGGGGATTGTTTTTGCCTCGCTTCCTAGATGGCTGTGT